AAACGAAGGAATTCCATGAATAAAAGTCGCATTATATTAAATCCCCTTGTGTCTAGCTGGAAAGACTCTCATTGACTTCAGCTTTTCGGTAGAAGAAAGACTGATTTACACACACCGTTACAGAAAACAAACGAGCAGACTGACAACTCCAAAACACACATTTGCATTTACTTACAATTTGAATTTCCGAGACATTTTAAAACGGAGGAATTGTGGGTTGTGTGTGGGTTTAAATGCAGAAAGAGGAGATACGCTATTGCTGGGAACATGGCAACGAGAAAAACACGAATAAATTAGTAGAACGAAAAGCGTTCGTTGCTACCTGTGGGATTAAGGGTGCCGGTTTGAAAGAGAAACTTTTTTTCAAGAGTTTTGCTGCTTTCCGAGCTACCTTAATATAAGGAAAGACCGCATCTTCTCTTACCAATCAATATCATCACCAAATCAATATCAGCACCAAATTCAGCGCGCCCAAAATTCTTTTTCACGCAACATTATCAGAATCACCATCAGAGCTATGTGCCAAAAACGTAATCACCTCACCGAACAAATTCTACATTGCCACTCTGAACTTTCCAAAATCTGTCCATCAGTTTTAGTACAATCTATCACCCAAAATTTCAGGAAACTAATTCTAAACTTTTCAATCATTTGAACAAAATTAAGGCCCAAAAATTTGACCAACTTATCGGTTCCCAAATTGCTAACCACTCATCACCAGAGAACCTTAAAACTGTAGTTACCATTCCAGAAAATCTTTCACTTTCCGATTCAGAAAATCCGTCTTCAGTAAGGGCTTAAATTTTGTTCCCATTTCTAACAACGGACGAATTCTCAGTTAAACAAGACGTAGAAAGATCTAGAAAAATTCCTTCGCCGCGTTCCGTTGAAAGCCTTATTTCATGGCAAAGGGGATAATTCTAACACCTCGAACAAAGACACTTTAGAAACGCTTCAGATTCGAAAGTCTAAATGGACTCCCTCAGAGGGCCAGTTCGCATCGTTAGATTTTTCCATCAAAACATGTCGCCACGATATTAACAAACTTAATTTCAATCGTAATACCAAATTTTCCAATCTTTCCTCTGAAGAGCGGTCGCCACTAAAAAGCCTAAAAAACGCAAAGACATTTTTATCAAACCGGCTGACAAGGCCGGCGCAGTAGTTGTTTGGCGGACCGACTTCTAATTTTGATAACTTTATTTCAAAACTTAAAACATTACAATAACTTCGCGTGGGTAATGGTTTTCCCTCTCGTATATTTCCAAATTAATTGACACGGAACACATCTGTTAAATTCGGTTCACTAGGATCAGACTCGTATCAGACCCAAACTAACTTTGATAAAAAAAACGACCTACATAAAAAAA